ACCCTAAACCCTAAAGCCCCCAAAAACCAAAAAAAAAAAAAGCACTAAACAGATATGGTGGAAAAAATATTTAAACCCTAAAGCACCAAAAATAAAAATAATAATAAAACAAAGGCCCTCCTTCCTCCTCCCAAGGATCTCCCGGAGCAGGAGCTCTAACTCCGCCGACCGGCAGAAGAGGACCAGGGCAACTCCTCGGTCGGGGGGCGGGGGTTTAGGGTTCAGGGTTTGGGGGTTTGGGCTTTAGGGCTCCTTTTTCTTCAAAGGCTCCCCTTAAAGGATCCCTTGAAGGATTCCTTCAATTTTAGGGTTTGGGGTTTAGGGTTTAGGGTTTAGGCTTTCCTCTAGGGTTCCTTAAAAAGGCTCCTCTTAGGGTTCCTTTTAAGCTTCCTTTGGGGTTCCTTTCAAGGCTCCTTTCAGAGCTCGCTGAAGGGGCTTGGCAGGGCTTTAGGGTTGAGGGCTGTGTCGAGTTGTACAGGGGTTCCACGGTGCATCGAAAGTAAGAGTTTCTGTAACGGCTACCACAATACTTCGTCCCTGTTGGGGCTATATTAAGAATGGTCATTGTTCATCCTTATTGGATTTTCTTATGACAAAAATGTAAAATTGTATCCAACAAGGACCCAGAATACTACAAGACTTTGGGATTTACGTTTTGGGGGTTTAGGGTGTTAGGGTTTTGGGCTTCGGGTCTCAGGGCATGGCTTCACGAAGGCTCTGGGGAAATGCGGCTACTAGGTCGCCCCTTCTACGCAGGAATACATGCACCAGCCTTCATTCGGATTTAGGGTTTAGGGTTTAGGGTTTAGGGTTTAGGGTTTAGGGTTTAGGGTTTAGGGTTTAGAGTCTAGAGGTTTAGGGTTCGGGGTAGTGATTGGGGGACAGAGGTTGGCTAATACAGGGGCCTGAATACTGAAAATAAGGTTTTTGAGTTTAGGGTTTAGGGTTTAGGGTTTAGGGTTTAGGGTAGTTTATGAACACTAAACCCCAAACATCCTAAACCCCAAACCCGAAACCACTATACGGAGTTATAACAAGGAACCCCCCGGAATGGCAGTTTAGGCCCCTATATCTGTCCAGCAACCCTAAACCCCGGCGGGAGTCTTCTCCCATCGTCCCAAAAAGCGCGGTGCGCCATCTTGTTGTTGCAGCTCCTCAGTTCTCCAAGCAAGGGCTCTTTGGGGCTTAAGGCTTCGGGTTTGGGGGGTGTAGGGTTTAGGGGTTAGGGCTTAAGGTTTAGGGTTATCGGGGGTGCGGGGGTTTAGCGTTTAGGGCTTTGGGGTTTAGG